CCAGTTTAAAATTTCGGTTAAAAAATGTTTGCAAAAATGCACATTATGATCATGCATTCTCTCATGTAATGAATACATGTATAAAACATATGCAAGAATACCATTTGGACAAGTACAATAATTGCATATATTCTAATTATCATTAATTATTATACCCCCTGCAAACAAAGTTCGGGGGGTACAGTATACAGGAAAACTTTCATCCCATTTTTTAGCCCCTTTCGACCTACTACAGGTGGGCAAATTTAAAACGGGATGAATTAAAAGAAAACAGTATTATTTCTTAAACAAAACTGTGACTGGGAAAATTTAAAACGGGGCAGAATAATTTGTAAAAGTGAAAGAGCGAAAATAACAAGGGCAAAAGTAATCTTGTATAGCACAACGCACTTTTTAAACTCACATAGTTCTTGGCACAAATTAAGGTCACTTTTTTTCCTGTAATAAAACGTAAAATTATCGAACGTCAGTATGAGACATAACCCTTATATTTTTAAATATTTCATGTTAAAGATGCATACTCTCTACGATCATTATCTAAAGTTTTAAAACTCCATTTTTTAAAAGGGAATTTCTTTATAAATTATATGATGGTTCATGTTTACATGTTAGTTAATCGGGCTTTCTTTGTTACTATTTAGTTGAAATGCTCGAATTGACTTCTAACGGATAAGTATTTTTCTAAGTACTTTGCACATTTTCCATTCTTGTCTTGGTTTTGTCGAAATACAGCACCGAAAAATGACATGCTGCATAAAGCAATCATGTCACGAGATAGGATAATCAATTATTGTTTCTCTTTCAACAAAGTAAATTATTAGAATTAACAAGAAAATTATTTTACATTCATGGTCTGAAACTTCGAAATTTTGCTTTGGAAGGTATCGTTCATGATGATAGATTTCATAAAGTTAAGCTGAAAAAATGCCATCTTTTTAACATGGAAAGCAGTCAAACAGAAGAGAAATACCTCTATCATCTCGCGCCTTGGTGATATACTAGTATACATGTAAAGAAAATACAGAAATAGCATGAACTGCACTGTTTCTGTATTAAGCAAAGGCAAAGGTGCTTTAAAATGAACAAATACAAAAACGATTGCATTAGACGAGAGACTATGAACTAGATATATGTTCATAGGACATGAATGCCCCGCCTAGGGTATATTAGTAATGCAACCTGAAAATTTGTATAAATGTATGAAATTTGATCAGAATTTGTAAAAAAAAAAAAAAAAAAAAAAAAAAAAACCCACACACAAAAAAACACGTAGAACCAATAGAAATGACCCAATTTTAAGCGCTATTACCTGACAAAGTTGGCGGTCGGTATTTTTCTTTTTTGGCACAGAGTTTACTTATGGACTAAAAATTCACCATACAATTCTTTTTTTAACAAATCGTATATTTGGAACATACTCCTTAATATAGGCGTTGGCATAATGCAGCCTTGCATAATTTACAATCACGAAAGAACAATATTTACCTTTCACAAGTTATTAAATCGCAGGTCTACGAATTACACGTAATCATTGATACAACTTGCATTAACATTTTACAGTAATATGGAATAATTTACAATTAACAAATTGTGATAGAACAATTTACAAATTATGAAATTATGATTCACAATTTACAATTTCAAGTTTACGTGTGTACATTTTAGGAATTACAAAGATGTAATTTTGAACTCTTTGGCTATCAATACAAACCCACGGTATATTTTCCATTACGCTCTCTTTAATGGCGACGAGCAATAATAAACTTTTTAATTTTAAGTGATTCAACATCATATTTTATTCATACTTGATATCCAGGTACTGTTAGATGTCAATTGCAATAGTTATAACACACAGATTTGTTCCACATTTTGACACAATGTCAATAAGAGAATAAAAGATTTCCAAAACATTTAAATGCTTAAAGTATAGAAAATAGAAAGCTTTGATTGATTGATTCTATATTGTTTAACGTCCCTCTCGAGAATTTTTCACTCATATGGAGGCATCACTGTATGCCAGTGAACGGCTTCAGATTTTGACCTTTACTCGGCACTGGGGGCCATTGAGCAGTGAGGCATCTTTATCGTGCAAACACCTGCTGCTGACACGGGGCCTCGGTTTTTAAGGTATCATCCGAAGGACCCGCAACTTTCACTTCAAAGTGCCGAGCGCATGGCGAAGGAACAGTAACTACCAATTTTTTATCGACTTGGGTCAGTCGCGGCCGAGATTCGAACTCACGACCTCCCGATCACGGAGCGAGCGCTCTACCGAGTGAGCTACAGTGAACGGTCTAGAAAGCTTTGTCAGATCTATACATGTTACTAAACGTTGGTTATATCTTTTCAACCTGGCCCCATGACCATAAACTGAGAATAGACTTAAGTCAAAGTTTTGATCCTGAATAACTAAAGTTTTATTTAACATATGTACTTAAAATTTTGCAATTATGTTTAATATTCAAATTTCATCAAATATCATTCTTTTTTTTAAAAGTAATATTGATTTGAATTTTTTGACTTAAGCCTATTCTCATGTAGTTTATGGTCAAGGGGCCTGAGAGAAACTAGAGTAACTGTGAGAAATTAGCTCACTAAAGGATACCCCAGCCTTCCATATGAATATAATGGCAGTGTTCATGTTTTGCTATGGGACACCCAAAATATGTGTCGGATCCAAAAAAAAAATTGAAGGTGAACAGTGGCAATATTTAATAAAGATTTTCTGAAAGTCACATTTAATCTCATTTAGTGGTATCAGAGGATTTGCGGATAAGATATAGGTACCCAAAAGCATAACAAACGGACGGACAGCTAGACAGACGGACACACATTTGGTTATATATTGGATACATCAAGTCCAAGTCCTATTGGATACTGCTTATTGGATACAAAAAAGTGTACATACAAGAATGCATTATTTGGGTAGTAACTGTTCAAATCTCATTGGATATATTTCACAATGTCCATATTTTAATTGGGTTTTTTCTTATCGTTTTTTATTCATTCCAAATTTATTATATTTTTATTGTTTGCTGGTAAATTCAGACAAGATTGAAAACCTTTTGGTTTGAACACACAATTTTGTCAATTTCTGTGATAGCTTTACATTGTTACCCCTAACATTGTTCTTTGCAATTAAGATATATATTTTAAAAACACCTTATCTTGAAATATATGAATACTTAAATACAGATACAGTAAACTCAATACATCTCAGATTATGTTCAACCTTTCTTGAATACCACAAACAGGTATTTGAAGAGAAACCTTTTTTAAGTCATGACTAATATATACATGTAATAAGAAAACAGGCAAATGTCCATTGCATGTTGGGTGGAATAAAGGTATCCAAGAGGAATTGGGCAGGTGTCTAAAACCTGCTGGGTTGTATTCTGATGAAGGGACTAAAATTATCCAAGAACAATTGGACATGTGTACATTACCTCTTTTTTTGGATGTAGGACCCAACAGGTATTAGACACCTGTCCAACTCCTTTTGGATATATACATCCCACCCAACACGTAATGGACACTTATCCATTTTTTCTTGGGTTTCTTGAATTGCTTCATCAAAATACAACCCAACAGGTAATGGACACCTGTCCAACAACTCTTCTTGGATATCTACATCCAACCCAATAGGTGATGGACACTTTTCCATTTCTTCTTGGGTTTCTTGAATTGCTTCATCAGAATACAACCCAACAGGTGATGGACACCTGTCCAACTCTTCTTGGATATATACATCCCACCCAACAGGTGATGGACACTTGTACATTTCTTCTTGAGTTTCTAGAATTGCTTGATCAAAATTCAACCTTCTTATTGGGTATACCCAATATTGGGTATTTTCAGCGTTTTTGCAAAGCAACGGAGTATTTTTCAATTTTCAGGCAGTATTTCTTGTTTTTTGCTCATCCCACACACATTTATGCATTCCATTACATTGTAAAGTCAAATGTGGGGTATTGATACTGAAAATAATATACATCAGATTATTGTCTTAAAGTTTGACCTCATTAGATTCACTTTTTTGGAGGTCAAAGGTCAAATAAGTGCATAATTTTAGAAAATTTTCCCAAAACTTTTCATGTTTCTTGCTAAAATTTGTAACAATGGATGCTAAAGAAATAAATTATGAATTTACTCTTTAGAAGGCATCACACTGAATTGCAATATCCACATAATATTTTTGTTCAAATTTGTGTTAAATGACCTTTAAATGGTTGCTAAGCAACAACAATATTCAATTTTTTGGCTTTATAGGTTTCTTATTTCTTATTCTAGACAGTTTTTCATGGTATCGTTTGTAAGCTATAATTAAGGTCAAAAATAATGCATAAAACATCCAACAGTAAGTATATATCAAATTTGAAATGCTGCAATTATTATGGACATATTGTCCAATGTCTGACACATAAAACTGTTGACAACAAAATCAACAGAGATATCACAAACATGAATAGTTTTGTTTTATTTTGTTTTCTTTTTTCAAATCTTGGTTGGAATTCAAAAAATATATCTCTGACTTAAATAAACTGGAACAAAATTTGTAAGATGTGTTCTCAAGTATTTTAATCTTAGTGACAAATACTATTAAAATCATATTAAGGTAAAAATGTATTGCAACCAGTATCATTTTTTAATTATACAAAAGAGTACTTAATTTGTCATTTTCAAAAACTAAGTCAAACACATTTTTTGTCATGTAGAATACATTGTATAAGAAAACATTTACAATTTTTCTTTTCTTACAAGAATTTTTCTACATTTTCAAGTCTTTACTGGGTCACTTGTTAAAACAACTTTTGTCATTTTATAAGCATATGAAAAACAGCAAAGATGGACAAGCACTGAACTTCAGCTACAATCTTTCACACATCCAGTTTATGCGGCATACAATGACTGAATTTCAGTAGCCAAGGATTTCTTTAGTATATGCTACTCTTCTCAGAAACCCTTGACTTATGCTGTCAAAAGTCAGAATTCCTTATATATGACATGATCTTGAATAAACACTTGCATCATTGATAGAAATAAAGAGCATTCCTAAAAGTGAAGTATCTGGCAAAGAATAATTAACAAGCAGGCTTATTTGCTAGTAAGTTTGCAGGTTTTTATCTCTAACTTTAGATTCCAGATTACATTATGTGCACATCATCTTCATGTTGAATGAATTCTCTGCCATCTCTCTGAAAGACCGAGGGAACTCCTTTGATTTGACCGAGGCATGATCATTTTCTAAACGTATTCTGTCCCGACACCTGTAACAAATTTAAAAAAAAAAAGGTTTTGAGAAAGCTTTTCTAATCGAACATGTATTTTTAATCAGATAATTCAGTTTATACAGAAATCTACAATTGACACATTGATAACTTTCCTTTTATGATATTGCTAAGAAGTCTTTATAAAGCATATCATATATATTATATTATATATGTCATATTTTGTCATACTTGTAGTTAAATGGTTTGGTGAAGTCAAAGTATTATGACTGAAAAATTGCCAGCCCTGTACTAAACAATCATGGTTAATCAATTATAAATTTTAAAAAGAATAGCATAATTAACAATTAATGTTATCTAATGCATGAAGTATCCTTTTTTAGTTTCTGTTGTCAGGGTTGTTAAGAGAAAGGGCATGTTGGACTGAAAACTGTTACTTCAGAGAAAAATCCCTGCTCCCCCCCCCCCCCCACTTTTTTTCCCAACATTACCTTTACTATAGAAAATGTCCATTGAAAAGATGGTTGCCCCCCCCCCACTTTTTACCACAGTATATTCATAGCAAGTAAATATAGGAAAAAATTGGAAGTGAAAGGAAGTTGGCCTTGAAAAAAGAAAGGGCTTGTTTGTATGTTATTAAATGTCTCTCTCAAGAATTTCTCTATCAGATGGAGACACCACCACTTGTCGATGGACAGATGCAAATTTTGTTCTGTACTCGGCACTTACGGCAATTGAGCTGTGAGGGATCTTTTTCATGCCAGCACCTACTGCGACAAGGGACCTTAATTGGTTTATATAAGTATAATACATGTGTATAAGATAGATATTTTTATAGTGTCTCATCAGAAGGACAGGTCTCCATGTCTCATAGTAAGATTCGAACCTGCCATGAAAGGATCAACTCCTTACTTCGCGACTATAGGGCAGAGGCTCTAACCACTGCGCCAGTCGGGCTACTCATGTACCTGGGAGTGTTTACTAATAGCCATCCAGTGGCAATGAGGAATTTTGACTGCAATAAAATTGACTTACTAATAACTAAGCACATATGTCCTCCACATCATGGTCTTTTCTGTGCATGGTGGCCATTGGTGGGATTAGCAAGTGGGTCTTCATAGATGAAAGTTCTGAAGCCTTTGGTACCAGCACACTACACATGTTAAAAAAAATATATGTTTGTGTTAATTATGTCAAGTTTTATTTTTCTTTGAATGGTACTTAGAGGTGGTCATGAAAACTTACCCACTTCAAAAACAACACAAAAATAAGTCGAACTTATTCGAATCCATCATTGCAAAACACGGTTTGGATGTTCAGGCCAACAATACAAAAATTGATTTGTTTGATGTATTCTGACAATCTCTCAACATTGCCCCTACCCAATAATTTTTTCAGCACTTCAAACTTTTATTTTTCTTTTAAATTTACTAAAAGTGTTTCATTTTAAAGCAAAGATGTATATTTTCTATCTTTTTGACTGAAAGTTTTTATAACAATAAAATTGTGTAGCTAACAAACATGTCAAATGTGTACTGTTAAGAAATCTGTGATTTTATGACAGTTATCAATTTTTCAGCAGTGTAAACCACCCGAAAATTAACCCGACCTACCTACCCATCTTGGAAAATGTGGATCGGAGTACATCGAACAAAAATATTTTAGGCCTATTGATCAGTCAACACAGTATTCGGATTCCAAATTGAGAAAACTGTGACATTGTATTGTAAACAATTTTGTCATCGGAAAAAAAAGTTTTGTGATTGTTGTAAGAACCGAAAAGTATCATTTTTGGGTTACCGACGATGTCAAACCAGCGAACGGTTTCATATCACATGTACATGTGTAGCCAGGGTCCAGTCTATACTACTATAGTATATAGGTCCTTGGTAGTCTATAATGTCTTTTCATTTCAGTCAATGTACTTTAAAACACTTTTAAACTTTTCAATCAATACTTACTCACATATAATGCCAAAGAAAAGACCCGTCATATCTGATGAATTGACGTGTTTTCCATCCTAAAATAATCATGAAAATCCATGTTGTTGTTTACTGGTACAGCGGAAACACGTGTTAGTCTCGAATAATATCAACTCATACCGTAAGGAGTCGTGTAAATGCGAGATTTTGTATCATTGTGTTTCAAAGTTTTTTTTTTTTTTTTTTTTTTTTTTTTTTACATTTCATGTCAGTATATGTTTAATTGTATTTTATATTAAGAATATATTTTAAAGCAAACAGCAATAAAACCTGATTTTTTTTTTACGTAGATCTAGACCTTTAGGAATCAAACATTTCTTTTTATCAACACTGAATGAACTAATTGAACATTACATAAATAAACAAAAATACATAAGTACTACATTTCTCTAAGGATGTAAAGATAATTACTGTTATCTTAAACCATTTTTTTTAATAAAGCATCATATTTAATTAATTATAATAGTACTAAACATGTTGCTCCGAATGAGGCGCAACGAAAACGACCTTGACGTTAAATATTGACTTCAATTCGAATTTTCTTCAAAAAATTACGCGGGGGTTCAAAATTCAAACTATGGTAATTCAGAAAATACCGAAAATAAAGAGACCAGTGAAGGCTTGTTGAAATGGAAATTTTCTCCACTTTTACCAGCTGTACTTGTGATTTTGTTTTCCCTATTTCAACACAGAAATAAAGGTAAAACTGCGTTTAATTTAAATATTACGAATAAAACCCAGAAAAATCATATGCGTTGAAGAAAATGCTTGTTTTTACAAAATATTTAAAAGTAAAAGCAATAATTTTTACATATTTTAAAAGCAGCGAAAATATCCTTTTTAAATATATTAATTTTATTTAAATGATTTAATCAGGAAAAAATATATCTATCGTCAGGAAAATCATCCTTGCTTTGGAAAATTGCGTCATTTTCAAAAAATCATGAATGTCTTCAAAACGTAAAATCTAATCATTACCGATTAATAAGGCTCGAAATTTATACAGGGTCTGAAAGTAGAGAAAATTTCCTAAAAGATGATATATAGTTTATATACCTTAATGCTATTTTTAAAAAGATACGGAGGTCCTGTTATCGCGTTGTCGTGTTTTAACGCGCTATCGGTCATATTGACCGATGCGGTAGAGAAGCAATCGGCAATCCTCGGCTGACTCCGCTACGCTCCATTCAAACCTCGGATGTGATTAGTGGAGGAATACGCATCAAATTCTTACATTTCTCCGCCGGAAACTGTCTTATCACGCATTTCATAGTTCGCTCTGCATAACGTTCTTTGAAAATGTTTCTTAATTTGTGCAATTCTTTATCGTGAACAGGTTTTGATTACAACCTCATGTACGTAGGCTTTGAAAGCTAGAACAAACTGTTGAGAGCGCCACACAATAACTCCGGTCTCAAATGTACGACATTTGAATGAAATTCAATTAAGATCACATGACTGAAACAGCAAGATGGAAGATCACCGTTGACGTCCGAGGTTATGTGCGAGGTACGAGTCATCCGAGGAAATCCGAGTGGTAGAGAAGGGGTTAATAAATATATAAAATACTTTTTCACACCTATTTCAACTGAATTGAGCAGGATTACTTAAAACTTAAACAAATAGAATGTTAATTCAATTAAAAACAGCAACACTTTTGGTAAACTATGAGATAATGTAAAAGTGTTTGTACGCTTCAAGTTTTAGGTATGCCATTTCGATATTGAAATTTGTTTATGAACGTCATGTAGTTTAAACAAATTACGCATTTATCACGTGACTGTCAAATCAGGTGACAAAAACTGAAATCAATACGGAGTAAAATATACTGTTTAATCGTGATATAAATGACCTTTGAAAATGTAAATAGCTTTAGAAAATTAAAGTCATTTTAAAAGTGAGTTCATTTGTACACATCTTTATATCGTTGTCTAGATAAGATAAGCTTTATTTAGAGTCAGTATGGTAGTTAAAGATTAACACAACCTCTAATGATCTTTTGACTGACATTGTTAACATATGCATAACAGTAAAACAATGAAAATATACAGTACTATATAAACAGAAATTACTTGTAACAGTACACCACACAGTTTCATTTACCGGGTAGATGACATATCAGTTAAAGAAGAATATAAAAGACACGCATGTACAGACACACAAACAATACAGCACAGATGCATAAGGAATGTTACAGATAGAGATACATACATGTATATAAGACACACCTTTACAGACTCGCAAGCAGTACATCACAGAGACATAAGAAAATAACAGAAAAGAAAAAGATACACATGTACACTCACAAACAGAAGATGACACAACTTACGAGGGGCGTTCAATAAATAATGTCATTGGGCTCGGAAAGAAACAAATAAACGCTTTTCTATGACTTAGTCTAAATGATTTAACTAAAATATTCTCTTTCAATTAAAACGCATATGCGTAACATTTTCATTCAATTTATAATTGTTTTTTGAACACATTTTTGAGTATGACCCTTCGTATACTGGAATATGGCAGATCCTATGATTTGCTGTACTTGTTTTTTTCTTTCTGATAGATGTTTTCCTAAGTTTAGGAAATGAAACTAGTCAAAGGTTGAAAGATCTGGCAAATTTTGTTGGTGTGTCAAAACATTTACTTCCCCAAAACTCCTTTACTCTTCATGGCCTGTGGGTTTGGCCGCCGTCATGAAGACATTTAATGTAGTGTATTTCTCATTCTGTTTCCTTCCTCTTATATACCTTTCAATTTTTTGCAAAAAAAAAATTGTTTTCTAGACTCCTCCAGATATTTGAACTTCCTCCCCGAATATGAATTTGAACAACAAGACCGCTAATATTTCAGAAAATAGCATATAAAACTGTATTATGCTCCTGCAATTCTTTGCTCTTCTTAGGCCTTTGCAGTTTTGTCAAGTGCATCTCATTGTAAATTTGTTTTGAGGGATTAATGCAAAATGGATTCAAGTTTCCTTATCTGTTAGAATTTTACACAAACATGGATAAGTACAATTTTTGATTTTTTAAAAGAATTGTTTGGATATTCCTACACACTGTCGTTTTCACTCATTTTTCAAAATATAGGGTGACCTTTGAGTATTAAACTCTTTTATTATAAAATGTTTATTCAAAACAGTATGAACTATTCCCCAAAATGATTTTTATGAAGTTTGCTATGTGCCTTAAAGTCAATAAAACATAATCAATGATAATTTGTTGAAATTTCGCAAAATTATATCGGTTGTTGTAAGTCATTGTTGCCAAGGACGGTACCCATTTTTGATGCCCATTATATAATTTTTGTTTATTGAAATCTACATGTTCACCTGCCTATAAAACAGGCATTGGTTGCTGTTACTTTCACATATTTCAGTTAATATATTTTTGGAATATTAACAAGTTTTACAGCTGCTTTAATGAAGCGTTTAATTTTACTCTAGTTAACTTATTCTTGACCATTTATTTTTAATGCAGTGTCTCGAATAGCCCTTGTTTTCAAGCTTCCTACGATGAAATAATGCGATGAAAAGTGGTCACACAAACTGTTATCAATTCATTAAAGATTCAATAATGAGAGAAAGTCAAGCTTTATGTCATATGACTAGTATGTTGTATGCCATTGAGCTAATGACATTATTTATTGAACGTCCCTCGTATCTAGTGGAGCAGGCTGTACACCCACTGTACAGTCCTAGATTTCTTTATATTAAGCTTTAGCAGTGTTACTTATTTATCCGTGATTAACATAGTTAATGAAGCGTTTACTAATTGAGTATGTAGGTTATTAAAGTTCTGTTTTTTAGTCTAGGTGTTGAAGTCCCTGGATTCAGCTGAAGTCACTTCAATTTTTATTCAATTTGTTGCTCTTATTTTACATTATGACTAAAGATGGATTATCAAAAAAAATTAAAAGGTGAACACGACTGTATCTGGTACTCCATCCCTTCAACAATTTGATATCCAAAACAAATTGGAGTTGAAAAGTCAATGAAAGACAATATTGCAAATAATGTTGTTCAACTCTTTTTTTTAATCTACAAACACATACTAGTATTTAAATGAACACAATAAAATTCCCCAAAGCCTAAAAGATTTCAGCTGTATACGTTTCCTTACAGACTATTTTCGTTCGATTCAAAGCTTTAAACAATCAAAAAAAGTTGTCTTTACCATTAATTTGAATTCTCAGAATTTGTTTTCTACTAGGTACATGTACAAAATATAATTATATCTCTATTCCGTGGCGTCCTTTAACGTTACCTATTTCAAAGAGGACTACCTGTCATCTGAAATTACTAATGCCTTATAACATGGAAAACAAAAGAACTAAAGGAAATTTAAAAACAAAGTCTACTTACAAAAACAAGTCCTCATGCGAAACCTTTCTTCCTAATAAATTTGA